TTGAACTGAAAAAGAGGCGATCTGAAGAAAACCTAGGGAGTTCTGAAGAAACGTGAGCAACAGTGACGCAAGCACAGAGAGATCCGTGTGTGTGTGTGTGTGTCTGTGTGCGCGCGCTGGGCTGGAGCAGAGTTTTGTGTGTTGGGAGGGGCGGGCGCTCCATGTGACTGGCCAATCACAGAGCGTGAAGACAGTCAGTTACCCAATGAGGATTTTCCTTCAGCACGATTGCAGATATTTACGAGTTTTACTTGTTTCATGCTCGTATTTGTCAAAAATGCTTTATCCGCGGCTCATCCCTAGCTGTAACCACCCTGCCCTGCGTCCTCCTCCTTGCTGCCTGCCGGCTGTGATCACAAGCAACAACAGAGTAGTTCCCGCTGCTTCTTCGGGAAACGGTGCAAAAAAGAAAAATGAATCTATAAAACGGGATCTTGCAGGCGTGGCGCTGGGATTTCAGCCGTGGCGGGCTGCCACGGCTACGGCTATGTAAGGGAAACCCTGGGATCTGTTTAGGGGGTCCGAGGATCAGGTCTCTGCTTTTTGCAGATGATGTGGTCCTGTTGCCTTCATCAGAACGTGATCTTCGGCTCTCGCTGGAGCGGTTCACAGCCGAGTGTGAAGCAGCTGGGATGAGAATCAGCTCTTCTAAATCTGAGACCATGGTCTTGAGTCGAAAAAGGGTAGAAAACCTTCTCCAGGTCCGGAACGAGGTCCTGCCCCAAGTGGAGGAGTTTAAGCATCTTGGGTCTTGTTCATAAGTGAGGGAAAGCTGGAGCGCGAGATCGCCAGACGGATTGGTGCTGCATCTGTTGTACCGTCTGTCGTGGTGCAGAGAGAACTGAACCTGAAGGCAAAGCTCTCGATTTACCGGTCGATCTTTGGGTAGTGACGGAAAGAATTTTAGAGATAGGATGAGAAGCTTGGTCATCTGGGAGGGGCTCGGAGTAGATCCGCTGCTCCCCCACATCGAGAGGAGCCAGTTGAGGTGGCTCGGGCATCTGGTCAGGATGCCTCCTGGACGCCTCCCTGGTGAGGTTTTCCGGGCACGTCCAACCGGGAGGAGGCCAAAAGGAAGACCCAGGACACGCTGGAGTGCCTGTCTCACGCCTGGTCAGGGAACACCTTGGGATTTACCCAGAGGAGCTGGTCCATGTGGCTGGGGAGAGGGAAGTCTGGGCCTCCCTGCTTTGGCTACTGCCCGACCCCGGATAAGTGGCAGAGGATGGATATTTGGGTCTTGTTAGGCTCTGCTGCGCTGCTGCAGGTGGGGAGGAAAAGGAGCTGAGCTCTCAGAATAGTAAAACAGAAAGTATAATATCATTTTGTTGTGTCAGCCTGTAGAAGTTCTTGCTAAACTTTATTCTGTTTTATGAACTAGGGTGACTTGAATTAATAAATTCAACCTTCTCATTTATCAAACACTCCGTAGAATCCTTACTAAAACCGTACTTAAGCTCAGCAAAAAAAATTTTCTTACGCCAAGCAGGTGTGTGATCTATCAAACATGGAGTACGCACAGCTGCACGCTATCTCCGCTTCATAAATCACACTCTACCTAGAAAGGTTCTCAGGTGTTTCTGGATCACTTCCTGCCCTCACCGCACTCAGTTTCTGCCATAAATGGTCAATGCAAAGTACCTTGTGGACCTCATGCATATACATAAGCCGGCTCGTTCAGCGCTCCACCATTAACGATGGCGACCGTAGATCAAGGCAGATCAAGGAAGCGCAATTACACAGAAGCAGAAGTTGAGGTACCTGTGGGTGAGGTGGAGAAATGAAAGGAAGTCTTCGTCTTCGTCTTCCTCCGCAAAACAAATAAGAGAAAATCCACGGAGTGGCACAGCGTTGCTGAAGCCGTCAATGCTGACTTCTTCAGAGAGATCTGTGGCGGATATAAAAAAAATGGTCCAATCAGGATTTGATCCCCAGATTCCCGGGTGAAAGTCACACACGCTGACCAGTCAGCCAAAGGGACATCCCTTTGTTCAAGTAGCCATGGTCAACCGGGTCACAGTGACAGGACACACACACTGTCACAGACGCATGATGTTCTGTCTCAATCTGCCCCCCTGCTGATATTCTGCATTCCTTATTCTGTGCTTCAGGCTGTGAGTGTGTGTGTGTGTGTGTGTGTGTGTGCGTGTGTGTGTGTGTGTGTGTGTGTACAAGTGATAACGCTGCAGGATTTCATAATTGTATCTTCTCAGCAGCAGCACTGCAGGTGCTCTCCATGTCCAACATGTGTGTAAGCCAGGTCCTTCGTCAGCTTAAAGTTGCGCTCATTTTTCCACGAAGTTTTCTTTCATAAATCCCAAAGTTTGCGTGGAAAGTTGCTTACGCAGTTTTCCGACCCCGTTTTGTGCGTAAGCTAGCTTGATGAATGAGGCCCCAGGTCTGTAAAAGAGTAAACACTACAGGCTTTCCATTTGTATGACACTAAGTGACATTAGGGCTCAGGAATAAAACACGAGTCTGAACCTTCCCGTGCTGCCTAAGAATAAATCCTCTATCTTATTTTAATATTGTCAGCAATAAAACACCAGATCATCATTGTATCTCCTGTCCTTCACTAGTTGAGCCTTACCTCTATGAGCAAAAGAAAAACATGAAAATGGACTTAATGAATCAGAAAAGCAGAAAGAAATGTTATTTCTGTCTTTAGATGTTTCACTTCAGTTTAAACTGGTTAGAGTTGTGTTTATCACATTAGAGATAGGATGAGAAGCTTGGTCATCTGGGATATCACCTTCAGCTTTACTAATGATGAACATTTTTGTGCTGTTTGAAAAAAATAATCATAACAAATCATAACAATTACTATAAAGGTTTGGTACTGTTTAAAGTAAGTTTTGAACTGTTCCTTAAAAGGCACTATGTAGTTTTTAGAAGTACTATGACATAAGTATTCCACCCCCACCACCCCCGAAGGGGCACGGCCACTCTTTCCTGTGGGACACCCACCTTCCCAGCCTACAGCGACATGTTCTTGTGCGGGAATTCTGGGACTACTTTAAAGCGTGGGACTTAATGGTGTTGTCCGTGGAACTAAGACCACTGATGTAGAGGAACTTGTTGAATTTAAAACTAAACAGTTGTTATTCCATTTGCTGATCTCTTTCTCAGGATGAAGTTTAAAAGTCGTGTTGGTTTTAAATGGTCAAATTAGATTTTTCCCACCCAATTCCGATTAGCTGAAAATCAGATTGGAGCATCCCTAATGCTTTTAGGTGTTTTATCCAGGCTTTTATTCTGGAAATAATCTGTCATTTGAGCTCTGCCCTGTTTGCTTTTTCATCCAGTTTCAGCACCATCATCAGTTACATCGATGACCAGTTTGAGCGCTACCTCCATGATGAAAGTGGCTTGAATCGCAGACACATTGTGGACAACAGAGTCCACTGCTGTTTCTACTTCATCTCCCCTCTTGGACATGGGTGTGTCCTTCCAGACGCATCCACACAAGCTCTAAATTAACTTAATTTAATCAATCCTCACCTGTTCTCTTGTTCATTTCAACCAGACTCAAACCGCTTGATGTCCAGTTCATGAAGGCAATCCACAACAAGGTGAACGTGGTACCTGTCATCGCCAAAGCCGACACCCTCACCCTCCGAGAGAGAGAGAGGCTGAAGCGCCGGGTGAGTAAAGCAAGCTCTCCCATTGGTCCAGTTCCTGACTCTAATTGCCCCAGTCACAACGATCTGACCTGTTGTGGATAGCCTTCTGAACAACCTGTGTTCACAGAAAGCCTACATCCTGCAGGACTGATGAGCTAACGGCTAGTCTCAGCACAACTGTTTGAAAACAAATGTGCTGAATTTCAAAGATGTTCGTGCCAAAAACAGACATTCCTTCTTTCTGCTGCATAAAATGACAGAAACATGATCTTATCCTGCCAGATGCATCAGAGGTGTTTAATACCCAGATGCTGTTTAACCAGCTGCATTGTAGAAGGTTAGAATAGAGCCGGTTTGAAAGAGACTGAGGTTAAGCTGTGTCACTTTATGTTTGAGCATAGAAGTTGTAAATTATGTGCACAAGTCACATCACAAGTCCTGCTGCGTGATTTGTCTAATGAACTTGACACGCAGCTAGGGTTGTCACGGTAACCGGTGTAGCGGCAGGGTATCCGCGGGTCCTTAAAAAGACTTAAAAAGTCTTAAATTGGCTTTTCCAATTTTAAGGCCTTAAAAATCCTTAAAAATGACAAATAATCTTTAATACAGTTTCCAAAGGTCTTAAAATACCAAAGGCCCACTAAACAAGATTATTTTATTTCTATAAAATTTTCATGAATTCCTAGTTGGTGTTCAGCGTTTTTTGTGTACGATGTTGGCGTAAGCGGAACCGTACACATTCAGTTGGTTGTGAAAGGGGGCTATTTTTAGATGAGCACATTAGCTGGTTAAGCTAGTGGGAGCTTGCGCCAAGGAGAAGTGCAAGTTTAATGGTAACTGGATGGCTAATCCCACGTTCGCGACGTGGTTAGCACCGGTTCCAGGCAATAGCTGGAAATTATAGCTTAAATTTAATTTTAAAAAATAGCTTAAATTTGGTCAAAGTGGCCTTAAAAAAAGTCTTAAAAAGTCTTAAATTTGGTTCCCTCAAACCTGCAGATACCCTGAGCGGTAAACCCCGGTAAAAAAGTTGACAATAATAACCGTCTTGTTTTTAAAAACTATATTATCTCGGTGGGTTTACCGTGGCTGCGGTGTAGGCGCGGTGACCCTTACCAGCCACCGTATCATCTGCTGAAGTTGCCGGCGGCACATGCGCACTTTGTTGTTTACAACCAAAACTTTCTTGAAGCTAAAGCTGAAATAATGGCCAAAGGAGGAGACGGCAGCACTCAGGACATTTATTATCCCTCAAAGAAGACAAAGTGGGAAGTACGGGCATCTTTTGGATATGTGAAGAATGCCGAGGGACAGTTGATAGAAGACGGCTATCCTGTTTGCAGCACGTGCAGAAAAAGTGTCTGTGAAAGGCAGCAACGCTTCAAATCTCATGACACATCTGCGTGACCATCACCCACAACTCTACAGTCAACGCAAGGCAAGCTAACGTTAGCGTTTTAGCTAAAATGCGTGATCCGAGGATTTGGGTTGAGGGAGAATGCAACGAGTCGCTATATAAAGCAGCCGCAGCGCCGCTACCTGCATATAAACCGTGTCGCGGACACCGCCATGTTGAAATGACGCTATGCATTACGGGGCTCCCAGGGGCAGATAAGAGTTGGTCTCTCTCCGAGAATAATTATGAATTTAACAACGATTACTGCCTGATGACATTTTCCCACATCTGCAAAGCTCACTGGAAGGACACAAACCGAGGACAATATTTTCCTGATATAGGGTTTATTACTCAAGTAAGGGTACAAAAGTATCTGATTAGAAGGCTACTTGAGTACTGAGTATCATCTGATCTAATATTTTAAAATGATGACATCAAACAGACAAAAAATAAGAAGTTATGGGCAAATATTGTATTTTAAAGACTAAAGGGGAAAAATGTAAACAAATAAACAACATAATTACAAAATAACACATTTTAGGCAACATTTAGACACAAACTGAGGACAATATTTCCTGACATACAGGGTTTATTTAACTGTCTGAAAATGTAGCACGTTTAAAAAAAATACCGCGATAATACCGAAAACCGTAGTAATTTTGGTCACAATAACCGTGAGGTTAGATTTTCACACCGTGACAACCCTACACGCAGCATCCACCAATCACAATCGTTTAGAAAATTTGACCATGTAAGACGGACAAACCCTCCACACTGTTATCTGTATTTTTCTGTAGCACAGTGGGCAGCTCCCACCACTGCCATCAAGGCCACGTCACTCCTCATCACCACCAGAAAGTACAAAGATGCAGCTCAGAGTGGGGCTGTGAAGGTGGGGGCAGATGATTGACACCCACCAAACTGAGCTGACGTAGCTACAAGCCTACTGCACTTACCAAATCTAATGGAGTTCGGTGGGTGCTTTCAGAGAACATCTTGGTTGCAACCTCTGCCTTCTAGGCCAAGGGTCGGCAACCCTTTCCCATCAAATGACCCGTTTCCCACAGTAAAGAAAACACTGGGTGCCACAGCAGCCATGTTGTTGTGGGTGGGCCTACCCACTTGCACGTGAGCCCACCCTAAGACAGCCGAGAGCTGCTTTAACCGATCACAGCAGGTGACAGCACCAATACTGTTCACTCATGTACCTAAAAGTTATCTTTCAACAGATAATTAATAAAACAGTTTGTATGAAGTTGATCCAGAAGTTGTAGCGGGCTGTTTCTACAATATTTTAACCCTGTTAGTGGTTTAATAGTTGAGCAGGTTCTGCTTTTTGGCGCGTCACACCTGTCTGTAACAATCTTCACAAGAAGGCTGAACAGCTGAATGACAGGTTCACATCGACCGGATATTTCCTGTATTTGATCGTTTACTTTGACGGAGAAACCTCCCACCTGCAGATGCACTGACATTTTAATCGTTACACACATCGCGGAGGTAGCTACATCAGTCAAGAAAAGATTCCCATCTGAACATGAGAGATGGACACTGAGCTCAGCGCAGCTCGCTGTCAGAGTTCACGTAAGGTGGACAGCGGGCTGAAGATGTGGAGAGGGGCTTGGAGCGATTCGCAGAACCAGAACCACGCAGGAAGATACCTCTCACTGAAGCGAGTGTTTTCCATACCCGGTCTCTCAGAGTCTTATCACTTAGAAAATGTCCCTGATGATGAAACTTTGGCTGAATAGCACTTGTTCTGTAAGAAATTCATATGAGCCACAGAGCTGCTGGTGTTAACGGGATGGTAGTTCAAACTCCTGCTGACTTTAGTTGCCAAATGCATGAAGAGCCGAAGTGCCTGACGGCTGCAGACCCGGAGACTGCAGATAGAGTAGTAGATGCGTGAATCTGCAGCAGGTGTAAGTCCGCGGTCTCCAGCTCTGCAGCTGCACCTTTGTCGTGAGCCTGGCCGAACACGGTTTATGATTGGTCAGTGTAGTGATCCCCCACCACGGTAAGAGCCAGACACATCCACACACCGTCAGATGACTTTGAGAATCGTTCATTTACTGCAGCGCTTGACACTCGCAGGCAGTCAGGCGCGCGCCCTCCCTGCGTCCTGGCTACTTCCTCTGTCCGTCAAAACCCCTCCTCCTCCATCACCTGTACATGTAGAGTCGGAGGTGTGACTATTGATGCAGCTCACCTGCGTCTGCGATCTCATCTGTCCTCTGCTCTCCCCAACAAGCAGCCCACTCCCAGCGCGCCACCACAGTCGGTTCTCGACATGCTCAGATTATCATTCTCTTTCCTTTCCCCGGAAGAACGATTTGGAGCACAAGTGGTTTGTTTGTTGCTAATCTGCAGGGAATATCTACAAGAAAGTTCTACAGAAGTAGCAAAGGGTCCTCGATAATGCCAGGTGCATTTTGGGAAAAAACATCATTGGGAGTGTCAAAAAATCGTTAGGAACAGCTACAAAGTCGCTGAGTAGGCGACACTGGGGAGCATTAAATACCAAGATGGAGGTGTGGTTTCTGCAAGCAGAACAAAATTATGCTGTAACTACTACACATTTCACAAAATTACACGCAAATATTGTTTCTCTCAAATACGTAGACTTACACAATTCTAATCTGCTCTTAAACCAGTACAGGCACTTAGCACACATGCAAAAGGCCCAACGATTATCTATATTGTAAACGATATGAACCGGATGTTAGCTTAGCTTAGCTAATAAGCTAACAGTGTGACTTAAGCACTGCTCTCGAAACATTAACAGTCATTACTATAACGAACTTTAGGGAACTTCAGTCATGAACGCACACCATCCTCAAGGTAAACATGGTCCGTTAACAGGTTAACCTGGTAGGAACGACATAGTGCACCACCATGTTGGTCTGCCATCTGCCTCATGTGTTAGGTTAGACTTCCCTCTGGTGGGTGTGCAAGGAAATGCTATTGATCAGGCTCATACGAATAACCTAAAGCCTTTCGTATAGTAGCAAGACAAATATAAACTCACCGGCCACTTATCTGTCCAGCTGCTCGTAAAAAAAAAAGACTAATATATATATATATATGCATATATATGTATATGTATATATATGTATATGTATATGTATATATGTATATGTATATATATATATATACGTATATACGTATATGTATATATATATATATATATATATATATATATATATATATATATATATATATATATATGCATATATATGTATATATATATATGCATATATATGTATATGTATATGTATATATGTATATATATATACGTATATACGTATATGTATATATATATATGTATATATATGTATATGTCGATGAGTATGAAGTAAGCGACATAACCATAGTTTTTACTGACGAGAGATATGCAAAGCAAAATAGACATCAGTTGTAACCAATGCACACTGAAGCTGCTGGTGCAGTTGCATTGTAAAATTCATGAACGGACTGCTGGTTCAGTTTGGTGGATCTCTCCATCTCTAGTGTGTGTGTGTGTGTGTGTGTGTGTGTCCCTGTGCTCTGCATCGGAACTCTCGCCCCATCGACAGCTGCCCAGGGGAGAAAGCAGTGTGGGTATGTGTGTGAATTCTTGTACATACTATGTACCGAGGACCATTTTGACCCTTTTCCCTACAAAGTGAGGACATTTTTTTTGGTCCTCACTTTTATTAGAATCTTACCAGAAGCTTACTATTACCAGTTAGAGGTCTAGTGTGAATTAAGTTTTAGTTAAGGTTAGGGTTAGGAGTAGATCAGCATTGGTCATGGTTAGGGTTGTGGTATGGGTTAGGCACAGTGGAATCACAAAAATGAATAGAAGTCAATGGAGGGTCCTCACTATAATGGAAAGACTCACACACACACACACACACACACACACACGCAGCACTGCAGCACAAGAATATGAGGACACATACAGCAAAATAATGAAATAATGTGGTTCAGAGTTTCCAAAAGCAACACAGCTCCTTTGTTTACCTCATTATGGAGGACACCACTGGCTTTCCTGCACGTATAAAATGCCGCCCATGTGCCCAGGGATTTCTGCATTCCTGAGAAGTCCCTTGGTTTTTATAAGTAAACACTACACCACCCGTGAGACCAAACTCACGCCATCCAGCCCGACCGTACCAATGCTAAGCGCCATATTTTATATGTTACCGGGGTTGTTCCACAAAGATAAACAATCAATGATGAACAGGGGTCTGCTTCTAGACCTGCAGAAAAGGGACACACAACAATACATCAGGAGCAAGCTATCACTGCGTCAACCTGATGAGGAAACATAAAATCAACATTGTTTTACTGAACAATCACACTATAGTAAATCATAGTGCATTTAGTGCCAACCACAGCCTTGAGACGAGTTGAACGTGCCCAAGTCCATACTTATGAGAGCACCTGTGTGCGTACCCGCGCTTGTATATGTAAGGTTTCTCTATAGGAGCGTCCAATAGAGAGTGTGAGGGGCCACAGATCTGCCCCCCAAAAATGCGTAGGAGATGGAGGGAGCTCCAAGTCCCAGAGATCCAGGAGCTGCCCCAGAACACAGGAACCCCAGGGAGACTGCAACCAGAAAAGCCCCTGCCCCCCTCGAGAGGCGCAGAGGATTACCCTGGTGGACCACAACCAGCAGCCTGCAGAGTCCCGGGAGATACCAGCGGCAAGCCCACAGGCTCGCCCGTAGCCTCCCACCCCCTAGCCGGCCGAGCCCGGAACCCAACAACCCGGGACCCAGGTGCGACCAGCCCCGCCGGGGACCATGGCTGTGGTGATTGGGCAGTGCAGGCATCGTCTGGCCTACGCCAGCTGATGCCACCACACCACTCCACTTGCACCCACAGCCCTCAGTGTCTAAGTGCAGTTTAAAATTGGAAGTGGGCACCGGCACTCGGGATGAAGTTGAAATATCCCCCTACCAAATGCTGTTGAATGTGCTCACTCCCAAGGTCCTAAGTGTGTGTTTGCGTGGAATGTCATTGGTGGAAGTGTTTAAGGTGCAAATAAAATTGGGGGCCAGGGCCCAAAGGAGTCTGAGGGTACCAACCCAGCCCCACCCCAGCAGAATATCTACTCCCATCCCTGCATTTGCACAATTTCCAGAATATATAAGACGTAGGACCTCCAGGTAAGGTTGGGTCCTCCCCCTCTTGGACATCCCCCTCTCCTGTGATGGGACAGCAGAGGAGCCAAGGTCTACCTGAGGCCCCTGAGCCCGGGCCAGGCGCTTCCGCATGTTCCTGCCTTCTTCCCGGCAGCATACGTGTCAGGACCCGACCCCCAAGGCCCCGCCCAGATCCCCACACGGGGCCAGCCACTCCGACACCCCGAGCCCCCAGGCCCCCACCCAGACCTACTCAGGGGTAATGCAGCTGCCAGGCGGCAGCCCATGGCCACCGCCAAGACCCCCAATAAACAATAACTTTCAGCGGGTCTATAGTTGCTGACCAGGGCTCGGCGGATATTCCGCATGTGATCCTGACACCACCCTCTGTTGCTCCAAGGTGTAATCTTCATTCACTAGTCTCATGTTGCAGTAATATTACTACAAAGCTTGGTGGCATAAAAGCTGCACAATGGCCCCATCGCCATGCCGCCATGGTACTTCCATAAGACACACCATATTACGCTGATTTGCCAGCATGGTGTGTCGTAGGAAAGTGGCTTAAACAACAGGTTTGGTCTTGGATTAGCAATTAGCTCATCAGTCCAGGTTGTAAACTCAGTTTCTCTTACCTAAGGCCAATCAGGGTGCTTTTTGGATCAGATAATTTACACACCTCAGAACGATTGAAAAAGCCTTTGACATTGTTGTGACAGTTTTTTTCTCATATTTTTAAGATCCTCGATGAGATTGATGAGCACGGCATCAAGATCTACCACCTTCCTGATGCTGAGTCAGATGAAGACGAAGACTTTAAAGAGCAGACCAGGATCCTCAAGGTAGAGACCACTGGGCTGCTCTGAAAGTTCTTTACATGAGAATGCCTGTAAAGCATCTGGCTTCAGGATTTATTTGGCTGAACCATGACAGGAACCTCACTTTTTCAGGCTAGCATCCCATTTGCAGTGGTGGGATCCAACCAGCAGATTGAAGCCAAAGGAAAGAAGGTCAGAGGTCGTCTGTATCCATGGGGGGTGGTGGAGGTGGAGAACCCAGAGCATAACGACTTCCTGAAGCTGCGGACTATGCTGATGTGAGTGTGAGCCGATGAAGAGCTGTTGCAGCAGAAACGCTCTTGTTTGTTGCTTCTAAAGTTCTCGGCACCAAAACAATGCCTGACTGAAAAAGTCTCGGGTCTAATGATCTACAGCAGGTGCTTTAACACAACTGCAACAGGCTGTTTTAGACCTTTCAGAGCAAGGATAGGCCCATTTATGATTAAAATATTACCATCGGCACCATGGAGATGTCATTTGTTCTGTCTCTGATGAGACTCTTGGATTCCGTGAAACCCGGCCTCCACCTGTGTGACTTCCACTTATGGCCCTTACATTCGAGCGTCGGCTCCGCAGTTCCTGTTTATTAACAACTAACTTTCACGCTTTGGAGCAGAAAAAGTGCTTAAAACCACAATAATCCAAGTTTGCTTCACTCTGATTTACTGTGATGCTCACCTGTTCCAGCCAGACACCTGCACCTCTGGGGTTGGACTCTGAGCTGAGGAAGGAGCTCCTCAGTGAGACTCCTGTGTGGGTTTGTTCATCTTCTTTACAGACAACAGTTGTTCACATAGATCTACACTCACCTAAAGGATTATTAGGAACACCTGTCCAACTTCTCCTTAATGCAATTATCTAATCAACCAATCACAAGGCAGTTGCTTCAGTGCATTTAGGGGTGTGGTCCTGGTCAAGACAATCTCCTGAACTGAAGGTCAGAAGGTGAAAGAAAGGTGATTTAAGCTATTTTGAGCGTGGCATGGTTGTTGGTGCCAGACGGGCCAGATTGAGTATTTCACAATCTACTCAGTTCCTGGGATTTTCACCCACAACCATTTCTAGGGTTTACAAAGAATGGTGTGAAAAGGGAAAAACATCCAGTATGCAGCAGTCCTGTGGGCCAAAATGCCTTGTTGATGCTAGAGGTCAGAGGAGAACGGGCCGACTGATCCAAGCTGATAGAAGACCCTAACCCTCGTTACAACCGAGGAACGCAGCAAAGCGTCTGTGAAGCCACAACACGCACAACCTTGAGGCGGATGGACTACCAACAGCAGAAGACCCCACCAGGTACCACTCATCTCCACTACAAACAGGAAAAAGAGGCTACAATTTGCACCAGCTCACCAAAACTGGACAGTTGAAGATTGGAAAAATGTTGCCTGGTCTGATGAGTCTCCATTTCTGATGAGACGTTCAGATGGTAGAGTCAGAATTTGGCGTAAACAGAATGAGAACATGGATCCATCATGCCTTGTTACCACTGTGCAGGCTGGTGGTGGTGGTGTCATGGTGCGGGGGATGTTTTCTTGGCACACTTTAGGCCCCTTAGTGCCAAATGGGCATGGTTTAAATGCCACGGGCTACCTGGCATTGTTTCTGACCATGTCCATCCCTTCATGACCACCATGTACCCGTCCTCTGGTGCTACCTCCAGCAGGATAATGCACCATGCCATAAAGCTCCAATCATTTCAAACTGGTTTCTTGAGCATGACGATGAGTTCACTGTACTACAACGGCCCCCACGTTCACCAGATCTCACCCCGATAGAGATCTTTGGGATGTGGTGGAACGGGAGCTTCGTGCCCTGGATGTGCATCCCACACATCTCCATCAACTGCAAGATGCGATCCTGTCAATATGGCCGACATATCTAAAGAATGCTTTCAGCACCTTGTTGGATCAGCACCACGTAGAATTAAGGCAGTTCTGAAGGCAAAGGGGTCCAACACCGTATTAGTGTGGTGTTCCTGATAATCCTTTAGGTGAGTGTGTGTGCTGCTGAACATGGAGAGAATCTGAGCAGTTTGACCACCCTGTTGGGTTAGGGTGTCGGGGAGGAAAGATTAAAACCTCAGCAGCCAGAGTCATACTGAGTTGAACGTGTCGCTAAACTGGAGTTAAATCATCTCCGTCTGCTGGTTGGTTGGTGAACATGTTGGCCGTGAACAGATTACTAAGAGGTACAAAAGACTGAATGTCTGATCGTTGCCCCTGAGAGCATGGTTCCTCTGATTAGTCTAAAACTTGGTCATTTATCTTCTGTCGTCAAGACAAACTTAAGGAATTTGGGTGTTTTTGACCAATCAGTGTCTCTTGAAGGTCACCCAAAAACATTGGTTTGAAACTGTTTTCACCACTTAAGAAAGATCTCCAAACTGCGAAGGTTGGTGTCAAAACATGAACTTGAAATGGTTCTCCATGCCTTTATCTCCTCCCGTCTAGATTACTGTGACACACTCTTCACATGTTCTAACAAAAACATTCGCAGATTCGAGTTGAAACTAGGAATTCGAATTTAAAAATTTGAACGATTCCAGGAAAAACTGACAGTCAAATCTGTTTCTAATCAGTGCTCGATGCCCAACCCTAGTGCTGACCCAGGGTTGTACCAGCTGACTGTTCCCTGAGGATCTCAGCGTCCTGCTGGGCATAGATGCAGAAAGGATCTGACGTGTATTCTGGCCCCATGAAAGAAAGGAAGAAAACAATCTTAATAGCACCTTGTGATTTTGTCGTGAGAGGTGCTACATAATCGATCAGTCAGTCAAATTTTATTTGTATAGCACCTTCCACTGCCTTTATGGAAGCTCTAGGCACTAAACATGACATAAAAATAATAAAAGAGCGGAGTACAACAAAACACATAAAAGCAGCATGTAAAAATAACTAAAATGATAAAACACAGATGATAAAAGACTAAAAGTCTAAAAACCATGTCACATAAAAGCCAAACAATTAAAATAAGTCCAGCCAGCTCTTGAAGACCTGCAGTGATGGCGACTGTGGGAGCTTGTTTTAGAGCATAAAGCCAGGACAGAAAAGGCCCGATCACCTCTAGTCTTGTACCTCGTTTGTAGGACTATTAGTAGATGTTGATCAGCCGAGCATAGGGAGCGTGATGGGGCATGCATTTGTAGTAACCGACCAGATATGGCAGGGCACAACCGTGGAGGGACCGGAAGAGTCTTTAAACGTCGCCCGGTAAGTAGTGCTTAATTTTAGCAGGATCTTGCCGGAACAAGATCCGGGAACTATTTTATTTGGAATGGACCGTTCTGGCAACTGTCTGCTAGGATCCGGCAACTCATGCGACAAACTTGTGCTATACGCAGGATTCGAATTACATGTGAGCTAAAGGGAGCTCCTGGAAGCCCTCAACACACCCAGCGTGAGCCCGAAACGATCCCGGTTCTACTTATATTACATTATCTATGTGGACTCTATTTAGAGCTGAGAGGCGCAGAGCTCTGATCGCTGATGCGCTCCAGACAGATGCGTCCTGAGGACGGCCACAGTAGCATTCTCAAAGTGTCGCCACCTCAAAAAACAAATTTAACACGCGATCGTTCATGTCGGCTTATATTATTTTATGATTTCTGTCTTTTATTTGTGCCTGATGTGTTTCGCTGCTGCAGAGCGGAGCGTGTCACCTGTTTCCAGTGACCTCACCGGTGCCGTCTGCTCGCACTCCGCTGTTTTAGCGGTCGGTAGATCTTTTAGAGCTGCAGTTGAAAGGTAACTCGTGAGGTGAATATATTTGAAGCCAGGTAGCAGTTTCTCTTTAGGATTGAGAGGAGATGCAGGAAGATAAACAGGCAGGACAGAAAAATAGTCAAATAAAAACAAGTTTTTGTACCTGCTGGTTGCAACAAACACTGACGGTAATCAGAAGTGAGGAATTATATTAATGTTTAGATCATTAAAATATGAAGCAGGGGAACAGTAACGATGCAAAAACTACCGTTGTTAAAATAAATGTGTGTTATTTGTGTTCCGGGAACGTTTGATGTACAAATCAAGCACTGCCGGTAAGCCGCAGGGAGCCAGTGTGATGAAGCCAGCACAGGAGAAATGTGCGTTTTCTCCGAGCCTGTCAGGAATCTAACTGCCGACTTTTGAACTAGCTGTAACCGTTTCAGTGCTGCCTGACTCAGCCCAGCATGAAGTGCATTGCAGTAATCAAGCCGCGATAAAACAAATGCACGCAGGACAGACTCGAGATGTTTTATGTTTATGTTGTTTATGTTTATTTATTTGGCAGACGCTTTTATCCAAAGTGACTTACAATTTATAACCTATAGGGCATGTTGTGATCTGTGGGGGAAACCGGAGTACCCGGAGGAAACCCACGCATGCATGGGGAGAACACGCAACTCCACGCAGAAAAAAGAGATGAACTCTCAGTAACATCAAGCTTGATCTAGGCGAGACGGCTCAAGTGAAAAAAACAGGTTCTCACAACTATGTTGGTGTGGTTATCAGATTTGAGTTCAGAATCGATTACCACCCCAGGCTTCTGACAGCGGACTTCTGGTGTGGTGTCAGAGCATCCAAATCAAGAGCGTGCTAGTGGGGAGGAATCAAAAAGCTCGGTCTCACTCTCATTAACGTGGAGGTAATTCGCTGCAAGCCAGAACTTGACCTCATCCAGACAAGTCAGGAGCTTGGCAATGGAACCTCCCACCTCAGGACACAGGGGACAGGAAACAAGGGAGTCGTCTGCATGCAGACCGTTTGTGTAGGATTGCTCCCAGTGGGAGCAAATAAAGGGCAAAGAGGAGCCCAGGACTGAACCCTGTGGTACCCCCACCGCAGGTCTTCTCAAGAGGACACAGGATTGCCCACCATGACACAAAACTACCTTCCCTGAAGGTTTGACCACAGCCATTCAAGAGCTGATCATCCGATGTTTTCCTGGGATCGGATACACATCGCTGGGGGCATTTGGGTTGGAATCGGCGTTTGGCTCTTGGTCAGCGAGCTGCTCACGTAAACAAATTGGTGCGTCTTGGGCGATCATGTGCAAACAGGACAAAAGAGTCTGGCGATCATAGGAGACGGTAGCCGGGACACTACCGAAGAGGATCGCAGACAGAAGCAAGGTGGAAAGAAGGTGGTTAGTAGAGAAAAGTTTGGAAAAGTGACCTAAACCAAACTCAGTTTCAGGGATGTGTGAAAAGTAATGAAAATACGGGACGGTCCTAGCCTGGCAGGCCATCCTATATATGTGAACCGATAAAGCAAAATTATTTAGTTTCAGGAAATGACGGTCCAGATTCTAGACCAGGACCAGCGACACCTGGTCACCTTAGAGCAGCGGTTCTCACCCCTAGTCCTGGAGGGCCGGTAGCCAGCATGTATTTGTGTAAGCCTTGTTTAAACAGACCTATTTTCAATCAGCAGGTGATTAACAGGCTTCTGCAGAGCCTGATGCACAGGTGAGTCAACCACTGAATCAGGCGAGTTGGAGCAGAGAAACCAGTAGAAGGTGCTGGATACCAGCCCTCCAGGACCAGGGTTGTAGTGTAACAAACAGTAATAAGGAAGCATGCACTAGTGATTTTCTGTGTTGCACTAAACCTGAGAAACTTTATGTGCACCCCCAGAACCCACATGCAGGATCTGCAGGAGGTGACCCAGGACCTGCACTACGAGAGCTTCCGATCAGACCGTCTGAAGCGTGGTGGCAGGTTGTCCTCCCATGGTTACATTCTGCCTCTGTCTCCTGTGTACGTACCTGTCCGCCAGCTTGCTTCTTCTGCACCCCTCCCGAGGAACAAGGGAACGTCGAACATCCAGAACACTGAGTGTTTGAGCTACATAAACCAGATCTGTGCAGATGGGAGTTTATTTGTAGTGAAGCTAGTAGCTCTAACTAGTAGCCTGAGCCCTGCTGTGGTAGAGGAACATAAACTTTAGTTCACGTGTGTAGGATATGGGTTGGTTATGAGTATGTGTAGCTGAGAGGCTTCTAGAGCCTAGAAACTCGATTGTATATAATTTAATCTGTAATCTAGATTAAACTAGTGTTTTAGACTCCGTTTCAAAGCCAGTCTAGGATTAGGGAGTGATTTTACTGTCTCACCACTGGTCCCTGGAAGGCTGTCTGGAGGCCTGTTGGAGGTACTGTTGTGTGTTTTGGGTATTGGGGGGGGGGGGGCTCGCTAACTGCTAAGGCTTCTTGCTTCGTGTCTTCGTAGCTTTATCTCCTAGATGCCTCCTGAGCACTAATCCACTAACCCCCCTTTCTTTCTTTCAGCCTGGCTTTTGTCATTTTTGCCTTAAACTGTTTAAAAGGCACAAAGACTCGTGCCGACTCACGTTTCTGAGCTGATTCTGTTAACCTTTGGAGATTTAACTCGATGTGTTGATTGAACTTGGACGCTGATTCCTGTAGCAAGCAGAACAAAGGTAACGAAGTGTGTGTGTCTGGTGTAGAAAAGGACCAGAACCAGAGGAGACGGACAAGGACATGATCCTGCAGGAGAAGGAGGCTGAGGTGAGACGATTCATCGTCCGTCTTGGGTCTGAAGGTCTTGTTTCCATAGAAAGCGTATATTCCTGGTTCTTCCTGAAGTATGGCACGATCAATGAAAATCTAAATGGCTAAACAATCAAACATCACGATCCCCCTCTCCTATTCCTCAAATTGGTACGCCCCACACAAGCGTTTCCGATGGGGCGGGGCCATCCGTTCCGCGGGGCGCCGCTGAAGCAGCAAGTTAACCGCCACCCGTTCTAATAGTACTAAATATATCATTTCTGTGCCAAATTTTGGTACTTCCCTACTAAAATGTCCCTGTTAAGGAGCTGCAGCACATCACCTGACCGTAGTTGTACAACGCTCCTCCGAGGTGGTGGACTTAGAACATGCTGGGGGAAAATCAAAGCTTATGCTCTATTTCTCTAAAGTAAAAGAAAACAGAACTAAACGATGTCTCTAAATATGGAAATTTAACGGAGCACCTCGTTATTGTGACATCAGTCTGCGAGCAGAAACGTGACCCGTCTGTGTGGTCTGCCATTTTAACTTTTAATCACCAATCACAGTTTTGTAGCTATTTTAGATAGCTCCATTATAACTGGTCCGAGTCGACTATGAATCTATTTAACGTTTAAGATGAGCAGACTTAAGTTAACATCTTAGAACGGTTTAAAAACTTTTGGTTTGTGAAACATCGACATCAGCAGAAAACAGCGGGATTTGAGGATACTCCGACATTTAATTCAATTCAAGTTTATTTATAAAGCGCCAAATCACGACGAGTCGTCTCAAGGACCGGCACACAGGAAACATTCCAATACAGGTCAGTTCATTCAGCCAGTCAGCAAAAAGTTTCCTGTATAAGGAACCCAGCAGGTCGCATCGAGTCACTGACTAGTGTCAGAGTCTTTACAGCAATCCTCATACTAAGCAAGCATGCAGCGACAGTGGAGAGAAACCTCCAGAGGATCCTGGCTCAGTATAAGCAGCCATCCTCCACGACTCACTGGGGATGGAGAAGACAGAGCAAGCACACACACACACACCTACCTCAGATAGAGGACATCTCTCGTCTGCTTGGCTGGTTTTTCGGTGAACGTGCTCATGATGGAGGCCCACCCTGCTAGTTACAGGAGACAGCCATTTTTTTTAATGTCCCACTCAAAAATTACTCTCTTGGCATTTTCATGTTTGTAAATAGTTGCGACAATTAAAAACAAAACATGCCCCGGGTACCGGGGGCTTTGCCCCCTGGCCCCCTCAGGGGCGTTGCCCCCTTCACCCCAGTGGGGGCCCCGGCCATTTTCAGGTTTTTTTCAATTAACCCAACCACATCCGTGCTACTGGAGACCACAGCAAATGTAGGGAAAATGAGTGAATGAGAGCTTTAAACTCGGAAACCTTTAGTTGGATTTTGTGACCAAACGTCTGATTAGTAAAAGGCTTAAACTGAGCGAGTTCTTCACAAGTACTGATGCCATTTAAAATCCAACAAAAGACCCGCTGAGCTAACATACCTGGCTTCGTACCGTGGTGACATCTGTGATTAACGATGCGTTTAGCCGGTCTGAACCATGAAGAGATGACTGCTGCTGATCGTGTTTTACAGCTCAGGCGAATGCAGGAGATGATCGCCAAGATGCAGGCCCAGATTCAGAAGGGAGGAGAAGGAGAGGCAGATGTGTGAGGTAAGACCTCCAGCTGCTCAGTTGCATCAACATGCTGGTCTGGGATCAGCTCTGTGAACACGTCTTTGTTCTCCTGCAGGTGTTTCCAGCACCTGATCCAGTTTGACCAGAAAACCTGGAAAACTTCACGGCTTTGTTTTTCCGGCTCCACGTGGGATCTGAAGTCCGTTTATACGTTCAGTTAGCTTTATAGTATATGATATGTACCATTTTATGATGTATTCTTTTGCAAACATACTTACAAGAAGTCACATGACCCTTCTGTAGTTTTATTTCTGGGACGCTGTTACTTCTATCTCACGCTGCTGCTTCTGGTTACTTGTTAGTTCTGTGAAGTTTTGTTGGGAGAGCCCGTTCTTTTGCCACGCCGTTGTTACCCAGAAGTCTTCCTGTTCACACGTACGCAGCCGCTGATCCGGTCAGGTGAAAGGAATTGTTGGTCGTCGTCCCTCTCCTGTCTCGTGTAGACCTCATCTCACATCAGTGTGATGATGTGAGACTGCCTTCTGAAGCGGCGAGCTCCTGAACTCGTTCGCTCTTTCATAAACGAACGCGGGACAGAGTTGAAAGCTGATGCCTGTGTGGTGCTTCACATTTATCAACTTTTCTTATACTTAAGATTAATGCTGTGAGGATTTTAACTCGAAAGTGTCCAAACTGCCGAGTCTGTTTTGGTTTCCGTGGTGATGGAGGTGGACCAGGTTAGGTCAGAGTTTCCCACACCGACCACTTCTTCACATTCCTGTTTGTGATGTTTTTACCAACAATGAAGTACCAAATATTGTTCGTAGTGCTTATATTAGATGAAAATGTTTATTAAACTTTGAATAACCATCTGTGGCTTGAGCCTTTTTTGTGTCAGCAGTAAGATTCAGGCTGTGACTGGGCCGAAGCAGCATCATCCGGGAGAAGGGAGCTTGCTTACGCAGCTTTACAGGTGCTGCTCATTAAATGAGAACGTGACAAAGGTGGTATGTATTTTTTTTCTCATATTTATTTCATTCAATTAAAAAACAACAAATAAATAAACAACATGCATGTAAACACAATACAACTTGAATGAAAGGGAGCAGATGGAAGAAAAAATATAATTTCTGCTCCTTAAACAAAGATTATTGTTATGCGTTCCCTCGAAGTTCATTCTGTCACGTTCCTTGTCCGTATTTCAGTTCTAGCCACAGACATTATTCACGTTCATATCCACCCGATACTTGATCTAAAGTATTCTCTAAACACTTTTAGAGTTCTTGTCTCTTTCACTTCTCTGTCCAGGCATTTCCATCATTTCACACCATTCACCAAAATACTCACTTCCTTCATTCTGGTTCTAAATCTGGGCTTCAGTTCCCTTCAACATAAAACTACTTTCCCTCTTTTCAAACAATCGCTGAATGTTTTTTAGGAATGTACCTGTATTAGCTTTATGCATTGTATGCAATATTCTCCAGTCGACCAAATCATGAAATTTCATTACTTTATATTTTATAAATAACGGGTTGGATGGAACTCTACTGTGACGATTAATAATTCTTAAAGCTCTTTATTTCAGTTCTTCCATTCAAAAAGTGAAGCTTGTATATTAGATTAATTCATTATACACAGACTGACATACCGTAAATCCTCTAATAGAGGCCCTGGCCTGTATTTGAATCAAGCTCATCAAGCTCCAGGCCTTTATTGGAAGGAGGGCCAGTATTAGAGGCAGGCCTCTATTTCTATTTGAGCAAAAATGAACTCATGGTTCGCTGGAGTTTTTGACAATTAAAATTGCGCCCACATTTTCAAAGTTAAACACATTTCTTTTAACAACGGTAGTTTCTGCTTCAGCCCCCCCCCCCCCCCCCCCTGCGCAGCGGCCGCAAACTCACCGATGCGCCTGCAGCCTCTCGGAGTTCCTGCTGCTCTAAACATTAAAATAATTATTTCATTTTCTGTTCCTCACTTCTGATTACCTTCAATGGTGTCTGTTTGTTGCAACCAGCAGGTACAAAAACTAACTTGTTTTTATTTGACTATTTTTCTGTCCTGCCTGTTTATTATCTTCCTGCATCTCCTCTCAATCCTAAAGAGAAACTGCTACCTGGGTTCATATATATTCACCTTATGAGTTACCTTTGAACTGCAGTTCTAAAAGATCTACCGACCGCAAAAACAGTGTAGTGCTCGCCGGCCGCATCAGTTAGGTGCGTCACCGAGGACAAAACAGGTGATGCGCCCTGATCCACAGCAGCGAAACGCATCAGGCACAAATAAAAGAATAAAAGACAGAAAACATAAAAGGAAATGAGCCGACATGAACGATCGCGTGTTAAATTAATTTTTGAGGTGGCGACACCTGATTTGATAACGTTACTGTGGCCGTGCTCAGGACGCAGATGTCTGGAGCGCGTCAACAATCAGAGCTTTGCATGCACAAGCTGGTTAAGGTTAGGATGGGGTGAGGGGAAGGTTAAATTGCAAGAGGGTAAAGGTCACCATTTGGTCAAATGTCCGTTTTACGGCGGGTGTCAGTACCGACGCTCTGGCACAGCGCGTTGCCTCCCGACGCGCAGGAGCTTGTCATTTGCTGACAGCAGGCTGCTGTTGTTTCCGAGGGCTGCATCTTGCTGGTCATTATCACGTGACAGCGACTAGTCGTTGACGGGCATAACAAGTCACTACAGAGCGGTGAAGTCGACTAGTGACTAGTTCATACAACCCCTGCTACTGCTCCCCAGAGTGTTCTGCAGCATAATCAGCACGTTCTCTTTGAACTTGATATCAAATTTTCGCCTCCTCTTCGTCTCCGCACGGTTAAAGTTACCCTCGCGGTCTATCACTGGCAAATCAAAAGTAAGATGGATGACACAAGACCCCACCCCACCCCCCCGTGGTACTTGCTTGTTACCACATTCCACCCGGCCACAATAAGAGACCGGCCATTATTCACCTCCGCCGACCCCGACACCGGCCAAAATATGATACCCGGCCGTTAATTGAATACAGGCTAATATTAGAGGATTTACGGTATTTCAATTGTTGATCATTATAACTGACTACTAATGAAAATCCTAAATTCAATTTCTCAGAATGATAGAATATTGTGAAATGGTTCAATACTGAAGACCCCTGGTGACATTTAAATGGTCTCTCAGTCTAGTTCTGTAGGCTACAAAATCATGGGGAAGACTGCTGACTTGACAGTTGTCCAAAAGACGACCATTGACACCTTGCACAAGGAGGGCAGGACCCAAAAGGTCATTGCTGGCTGTTCACAGAGCTCTGTGTCCAAGCACATTAACAGAGAGGTGAAGGGAAGGACAAGATGTGGTAGAAAACGTGTACGAGCAGCAGGGTTAGCCACACCCCGGACAGGATTATGAAACAAAACCCATTCAGAAATGTGGAGGAGATTCACAAAGAGTGGACTGCAGCTGGAGTCATTGCTTCAAGAACCACCAAGCACAGATGTATGCAAGACATGGTTTCAGCTGTAGCTTTTCTTGTGTCAAGCCACTCTTGAACCAGAGACGGTGTCGGAAGTGTCTGGTCTGGGCTAAAGACAAAAAGGACTGGACTGCTGCTGAGTCGTCCAAAGTTATGATCGCTGATGAAAGTAAAGTTTGCATTTCCTTTGGAAATCAAGGTCCCAGAGTCTGGAGGAAGAGAGGAGAGGAACAGGATCCACGTTACTTGTGGTCCAGAGTAAAGTTTCCATAGTCGGTGATGGTTGGGAGGCCATGTCTGCTGGTATTGGTCCATTGTGTTTCCTGAGGTCCAAGGTCAACGCAGCCGTCTACCAGGAAGTTTTAGAGCACTTTGTGCTTTCTGCTGCTGTCTTAACTTTATGAAGATAAAGATTTAATTTTTCAACTGGCTTATGCACACAGCGCCAAAGCTACCAGTACCCTGGTTTAAGGGCCATGGTATCCCTGTTCTTGATTGGCCAGAAACTGGCCTGACCTTAAGCCCATAGGAAACCTATGGGGTATTATGTATATCAGTGGCGGGCCGTGCATTTGTTACCTGGGCCTTCAGTGCTGCTTACTGACGTCATATGATGTTACAACAATTATACATGCCACCAATATGAAGAACTGGTATTACAGAGGTCATTCAGACCTGAAACCAAAATAATGTCTGGCTCTAATGCTGCCATTCAGACCGGCTTGTTACATTTATTTATCTAAATAATCATGCTTTATACAACTAGAAAATAAAGAGAGAAGGCTGTTGAAATACTTTCATCAGAAAGTTTCCTCAAGAACTTTTTACTTAAATTTATCATCATGAGGCAGCAGATTGTTTATGGAGTGCATGGAGAGAGGGAGAGGTTGAGGAAAAGTGACAGGAGCTGCATGATTTCAACATTACTCATGAATGTTTGTTCATCAGTTAGCAATTTTGGCGAACCGCGAGAATACATGAATTTTGTCAAGCTGTGTCAGCTTTGGAGGCTGTTGCACAGAGGGGGTGGAATAAGGAGGACTTCTAAAGAGGTCGGGGTAACGGCTATACCAACCCAGTTTGGGTATCAGGAGCCTGATGTCGGACAGAGAAACATCCTCAGAAAATAAATCTGGTGACAGTAAAGTTGTTTCTGCGTTAACAGCTCATTTACACAAATAAACTAATGCTGTTCATTTTTTAACACACGATAAACACAGACTTCCAAACTTTGGACATCTCCCATGATTGAACTGAATTTATTCTTGAATTGAATTGAATTAATTCTATTAGAAACAAAATCTTTAGCATCCTCCCTAATGCGATTTCTTCATCCTCAGTAAGTGAGGCAGCATCAGAGGTGACTGTAGAACCTCATCTGTGTTAGAACCGTTTTGATCCAGTTGAGCTTTCAGATTTATCAAAAATATTAGCTTCATCTAAACCTTCAACTTGCATTTTGGATCCAATCCCAACCAAATTATTTAAAGATGCATTTCTTTTGGTTACTGCCCCCATTCTAGATAAAATAAATTTATCCTTAGTAAATGGATATGTACCACAAGATTTTAAGGTTGCTGTAATCAAACCTTCACTTAAGAAGCCTTCTCTGGATCCAGATGACCCAATGAATTATAGACCAATATCTAACCTTCTATTTTTATCCAAAGTCCTGGAGAAAATAATGGCCATCCAAGTATGTGAGCATTTAAACACTAATGCTCTGTTTGAGGAATTTCAGTCTGGTTTTAGAGAGTATCACAGCACTGAAACTGCATTAGTGAGAGTTACAAATGATGTTCTCATGACATAAACAACGGGCAATCCGCGCTGCATCCAGTTGAGTTCCGGTTCTCACGGCCTGGATCAAAGGCATGAAAAGGGAAAGGGCCGGAGCTCCTGGCTCAAACTTATCATTTATTAGGTGCAAGAAAAAAATAAACGTTTCGACATGATGTCTTCGTCAGAGTTACAGGCCTTGATGTAATTACAGGTATATTATATACACAGGTGTGGTAAAGCCCAATAGACAGAAAACATACTAGTTTTTAGCTCACTGGTTGTTGGGCTGGGGGGAGGCAGGGTGAACGCCGAAATATCCATTTCATCCAACCCAGCCTCATCCAAACGATGACTTCCCAGTTCATCCATAACACAATGAGACAAATTAAATATCAGTTCTAAAAGTTAAAACACCTCATATGAAAATATAGAGTGATGTGTATAATAACCATGATGAAATACATCAACCTGATGCTAAAGCTAAAATAAATCACCTGACTAGAGGAAGCAGGACAGACTAGGTGCTTCGTTCACCCCTGCTTGGTCAATGGTATTGAGGGTATGAATCCAGTATGCCTCTCTCCGTAGCACCAGGAGGTTGATAATGTCTCCCCCTCAAGAGGGTG